AGAGAAACACACACACACACACACACACACACACACACACACACGGCAGTGTCTATGTGCCCAGGGAGAGATGTCACAACCGCTCTTGGATAGCAACTCCATGCAGTCTCCGCGGGAACTGCCAACCCTACAGGTGAGCACCTGGCAGGAGGGAGCGGCTGGGCTCCCGGAGGTGACCGGTCTAAACGTTCACTCTGAGAACAGGGCGCAGCGGGCTTTTCTAGGGAAGCAGCAGAGCCAGACACGGGCTCCAAAAAGAGCTGTGCTGGGGGCCAGGAAGATGGTTCAATGGGCTGCGCATGTGTGGCGCAAGCAGAAAGCCTGGGCTTGATCCCCTGTACTGCAGGGGCCCCCAGCACTGCTAGGTGTGGCCCCAAACACACATACCACAATAACCATAAAAGAGGGGTGCCAGTGAGTATGGGAGTGGGTGTGGAGGGAAGATGGAGCAGCAAGGAGACTGTCCCACAGACATAGAAGGACTGCACTCATTTGTGGAATATAAAGTAACAGAACGGGAGACTAACAGCCAAGGAGAGTAGAGATAAGGGCCAGGTGGATTGGTCCATGGCTTGAAAGCTAGCCTCACATGCTGGGGAAAGAGGCAGCTGAGACCGAGAAGGGACCACCAAGTAAAGGATGCCTGGAGGGCTCCCTCGGGATGGGAGATGCATGCTGAAAGTAGACTCTAGACCAAACATGACGGCCACTTAGTACCCGTATTGTGAACCATAGCACCCAAAAGGAGAGAGTCAAGGAGAATGTGCCTGCCACGGAGGCGGGGTGGGGGTGGGGGGAGGGACACTGGGGACATTGGAGGTGGAGAACGGACACTGGTGGAGAGATGGGCACTTGATCATTGTATGACTGCAACGTAATCACGAAAGTGTGTAAGTCTGTCACTGTATCTCACGGTGATTCATCAAAAAAAATAAATAAATAAAATAAAAAATAAAAAGGAGATTGTCCCAGCCACTGGGGCAGGAGAAGGGGAGCAAGTCTACAGGGGGGAAGGTGACGGGACCTTAGAGACAGGCGGGAAGGAGGGAAGCATTGAACTGTACTTGGGAGAACTGAGGGGATGAACCAATAGCTCTTAGCAAAGGGGACCCTTGGGGCCGCTTCCAGATGCCCTCCTGGGGGCAGTGGGAACTGGAAGAAGCCCCTTGACCTGCAGGTCTTTGCTGCGCCACACGCCCCTCCATTCAAGAACCCCACCAATCTGCAGTGCCCCGCCCCCAGGATGCAGGCCCCCAGGTTTCCACTTGAGGACAAAGTTGGGGTACCGGTAAGCGATTCAAGGAGAGCGCCGGGTTCTGCCTACATTTTGGAGGCTCTATCCACCCTGGTCTAGCCCCCAGCTGCCCCCTACCTGGACTGCCAACCTCTTATCATGCCTCAGAAGAAACTAATCACGAGAAGCACAAAGGAGTTGAACCCCCGGAGGTTCAACGCTTCCGTCGGCACCTGCCGTGAGACATTGAGCACAGCGGGAAACACAGTGACCAGACCATGTCCGCAAGTTGGCTGTGCTGGCCCCGAGCTGACCAAGACTGGCCCCCCGGGCTGCAGTTCCCAGCAGGCCCAGTGAGAAGCTCTCCCTCGGGGTTACAGCGTCTGTCCCAGTTCCCGCCCCACACAACAGGTGTGCACGCCACAATGTCCCGGAAGTCACAACACAGGGCAGGAGAGAAAGAACACCCGCAGAGCAGGACACAGGAGCGGAAATCGCGTCTCCACTGAGAGTCATGCGGTACCCGCTGTCCTGGTATTCCTGGGGAAGGGGAAGTGTCCATGAGCTTCCAGGACAGGCCACTCACCCGTCTCCTTTCTTCAAGGGGTGGTGGTGAGAGGCTCCCTCACCCAACTGTGCTCAGGGGTCCCTCCTCAGGGAACCATAGGCGTGTCGGGCTTGGAACTAAGGTGGGCGTCATGCAAGGCAAATGCCTTCAACCCTGTTCTCTCCCGCTCCATCTCCTGCCCTCTTCCCCCCTCCCCCCTCCAGCCTGTCTCCTGCCTTTCCTGCAGCAGATTTAGGCGAAGACCCAGCTCCCATCCTGACCCCAAGCCCAGATGCCGCCTTCGTCCCTCTGCCCATGTTTCTGCCCACAGCGCTGGGCCGGGGACGCAGTCGCTGCCCACTGAAGACTACTACGCGAGGACCAGCAGGCACTTCTCGGCACTTCAGCCGCTGGAGCACAGGCGTGGGTAGGCGGGGCCGAGCCTGAGCACCGTGTGTGCGGGAGACCCTCTGTCCAGGTGGGACACTCCATCCTGGGACACACACCATGCTCCCCTCAGGACTCACTTCTCAGCCTGGAGCCCGGCCTCGAGGGTCGCAGGCTGCTCTTGGGACATCTTTGTCCACAGCCCTGGGCATGCTGCCCGGGGACCATGTCCAGACTTGGCCTGGCCCCCCAAAGGGTGCTGGGCTCAAGGGACAGGCGGTTGGGTCCCAGCACCATGCCACAAACCCAGTGAATCCGGAGCAGCTGTGGGAGTCACATTCTTGCCGTCAGGTGAGACGAATCTCTGTGCTCCCGCTCTCTAGAGGGTTTTCACTGGAGGCAGGTGTGTGTGTGGGGGGGGGGAGGGTGCTGTGTGGGTGCGCGGGGCGTCCTGCCAGGCCTCAGAGGAGGCAGGACCACGGGCACAGCAGACTCTGGGAAAGCCGGGCAGCTGGGCAGCGTGGAGCCGGAGGGCTCCAGCCTCTGGGAGATGGAATCGGGACTCCTACTGGCAGAGCAGGAATGCATGAAAGGCTGGTGAGAGGCAATAGTGGGTGGAGGGGTCTGCGGTTAGACAGAGGCAACGCTCACACTTACCTGGGATGCAAGCACGTGCCTCGTCACATGCAGCCGCCATGGCTGCAGGCAGGAAGGTGGAGACACTGCAGCCTGTCGGGCACAGCCTGGTGCCGGAAAGACCAGCTCACCCTCCCCTCCAACCCCTCAGCGCCCTGGGCAGGGGGTGGGGGGCACAGAACCTTGTGCTTCTTGTCCTTCCCTTTTTGTTTGTTTTTTTAGACTTACAATTTTTTGTGCTTGGGTTTCAATTATACAATGATCAAGTACCCATCCCTCCACCAGTGCCCATTCTCCACCACCACGGGTCCCAGCATCCCTCCCACCCTCCCATCCCCCCCATCCCACCCTGCCTCTGTGGCAGGGCATTCCCTTTTGTTCTCTCTCTCCTTTTGGGTCCTGTGGTTTGCAAGAGAGGCATTGAGTGGCAATCATGTTTGGTCTATAGTCTACTTTCAGCATGCTTCTCCCACCCTGGGAGGATCCTCCCAACGCCCTTTATTTGGTGTTCCTTCGTGCCCAGCTGCTTGGATGCGGAGGGGCGGGAGGCGCAGAGGCCTGGTTGGGACAAGGAGAACACGGGAGTTGGAGAACGAGCCCCTGGAGAGGACGGAGTGTGGGCTCAGTTCTCCCCCGAGACCCCTCCTTCTCCTCGGGACAACGAGAGGACAGCGGAGGGTCTACCGCAGGCTTAGAGAATGGGGGTCCAGCACGAGGAGGGTCATCAGCAGGGTGAGCCCGTGACTGCATCACCCCCCAAACAGGCCTGGTGCCTCGTGCTCACTGCACTCCCCCCTCTCCCTCCCCAGTGTCCTGGTCTGGTGCGAGGCCCTCACTCTCAACAGCAAGGTCAGTCAACGAGAAACTCCGGGGGCTCCTAGGAACAGAGGCTGGTGGGTGGCTGAGTCTGTAAAACAGGAGGGACAGGAGGCAGTGATGAGAAGGAACTGGATGGAGCCCCACTCTGGAACTGGGGTACCCAGGCAGGCTAGGTCAGCCTGGTGAGCAGGCCTGCACTCGGACCATCCACCCAGAGGACAGACTTTCCAAGGAAGTGTGTCTGGTCTTCCCCTCCCCCCAGCGTGTCTGGTCCCACCAGGGGGAGATTGGGGGCCAGAGGGAGCAAGCCCAGCAAAGGAGGGGTGCAGAGAAGGCTTGGGGGCTGGAGCGATAGCACAGCAGGTAGGGCGTTTGCCTTGCATGTGGCCGACCTGGGATCGATTCCCAGCATCCCAGATGGTCCCCTGAGCACCGCCAGGAGTAATTCCTGAGTGCAGAGCCAGGAGTAACCCCTGAGCATCACTAGGTGTGACAGGAAGGAAGGAAGGAAGGAAGGAAGGAAGGAAGGAAGGAAGGAAGGAAGAAAGAAAGAAAGAAAGAAAGAAAGAACAATAGCACAGCGGGTAGGGCATTTGCCTTGCACACCACCAACCCAGGTTCGATTCCCAGCATCCCATATGGTCCCCCGAGCACTGCCAGGAGTAATTCCTGAGTGCAGAGCCAGGAGTAAGCCCTGTGCATCACTGGGTGTGACCCAAAAAGCAAAAAGAGAAAAAAAAAAAGAAAAAAGTCTTGATGGTGCACCGCCAGATGGGCTCGGGAGAAAGGGGGACCCACTGCAGCTTCTTCATGGACAGAGGCCATGGCTACACACCCCCATTCCACACCACCTAGCACTGCCAAGGGACCCCAACAGCCCCCCATTTGTCTTCTTCCTTCCTTCTTTCCCGGTTGTTCCCATCAGATGAACTATTCTGTTCATCCGTGCAGCATGAAATGAATGTCACACGTCGCAAGCAAAAGCAAGACAAACCCACACCCCCAAAAGAGGGTCCCAGGGAGGCAGTACAATGGGGCTTCCCACATCCGTAGAGGCCCCGGGGATGAGGTTTCTCTTCCCAGCACCGAATTTGCTCTCGAGGTGCATTTATGCCCCCCTCCCGACCCGACCCAGGGGCCCGAGTCTGTCTGATCACCTCCTGCTTATCCGCCCCAGAATCTGGGGGCTGGTCCGACCCCTCCCGTGGTGCAGGGAACACGGTTCAGGCAAAAGGAGGCTGCACGTTCCCACCGAAGGACCTAGTGATGTTTAATCAACTGTGCGTCAGTCACCAGTGCCCGGGGTTCACGAGCTTTTGTTTGCCACCATGTGAGTATGTCTATGTATATCTTGTGTGTGGGGGTCTGAGTTCTACAATCAGAAGAGTAATTTTTTTTAAAGATTAGCAATCATGCACAACCTACTTGTCAAAGCGTTAATGAAATACACTTATCCCGCAGAAGGGTTTTGTACATCTCCATCCTTAGATAACAAAGCGTCTAGAAGCCCCATGGTCCCGAAGGCGGATTCCTTCACTTATGAAGGTGGCCAGTCCTGCCGGCTCTGGGGGAGGGGAGGAACTCAAGTATTATAAATTCTCGAAGCTCTTTTGGCCGCTGTCTGGGCATCCGGCGGCTCCTCTTCCTCTTCCTCCGTTTGCTTGTGCTTTAAGAACAGGTCCGACTTCAAGAACCGGCTGTAGCTGTCGTACTTCATGAGGTTGAAGATCTAAGGGGGGAGTAGAATGATGCAGCTCATCAGGCCAGGCCCACCCGTCCTGTCCCTACACACCAGCTCGCTGCCCTGTGCCCAGGAGTCAGCAGTACACACAGTGGGCCAGCCACAGGGCCTCCTGAGGCTCCCGCCTGGCATGCTTCGGGTCCTCGTTGGAACGGCAGGATCACGAGCTCCCACCCAGCACCACCTGGCCTGGGCCCTGCTACCAACACACAGACACATGGACACACACACACACAGATACAGGCATAGATACAGACACACACAGACACACACACAGAAACATACAAAGACACAGACATACAGACACACACAGATACAGGCATAGACACAGACATACACAGGCACACACACAGAAACATACAAAGACACAGACATACAGACACACACAGACACACACAGATACAGGCATAGACACAGACACACACAGACACACACACAGAAACATACAAAGACACAGACATAGAGACACACAGACACACAGAGATACAGGTATAGACACAGACACACACAGACCCACACAGATACATACACAGGCACACAGACACAGACACACACAGACACAGACAGCCATATAAACACACAGACACACACAGACACAGACATACAAACACACACAGACACACACAGATACACACAGACACAGACACACACAGACACAGACAGTGATATAAACACAGACACACAAAGACACAGACATACAAACACACACAGACACATACATAGGCACACAGACACAGACACAGATAGACACAGAGACATATACAGACACAGAGACATACAGACACATATAGACATACACAGACACAGACACACACACAGATACACACACAAATACAGGCATAGACCAGAACACAGACACACAGACGCAAACACACACACAGACACACACAGATACACACACAGATGCAGACACACAGACTCACACAAGAAAGCTGTGAACTGGTGGTCAGAGAAAGAGGCCGGTCGGCAGGGCATCAGCTTCGCACACCACTGACACAGGTTCACACCCCGAGCAGAGCTGAGAGTCAGCCTGGGCCGGACAGGGAGTAGACTCCCCCAAGAGCTCGGTTACCCCATGAGGTGCTGACACTCACCCCTACAGAACCGTCCCCATCTCTAGAGGGCCTCTAAGAAGGCCAGACAGAGCCTCTGGGCGGCCCAGCTGAGGCCCACCCTGCTGCTCGGACCACCATGCCTCCCCGCCGCCTCAAACAACAATTCTGATGCTGAGAAACGAAACAGGCTTCCACTCGATAGGGAGGGGAGTGTCGTGACAGTCTCAGCAGGAAGAAGCTTCCAGAAGCCTCTTAAGGGCAGTTAGTTTCAGGTTCACACACCTGCAGCCTGTAGCCATGTGGGCCATGGGGGGTGAGGCCAAGGCAAGCTAGACGGGAGGGGGAGGCCCCACTGGAGAGCACGTACCCTTGTACCCTCCAGGGAGCCCACCCCTCCGCAGTGCAGTTCCCAAGAACCCACCCCTCAGCCAGGGTACCCCTGCCATCTCCTCCCTCCCCCGCAGGATGGAGAAGGGAGAGGAAGAGAGGAAGGTGCTTTTCTACCAGGTATGGGGTTCGGAGCCACCGGCCTCCCTGCCTCCCTCTCGGAGACCTGCTCACCGCACCCGGGACTCTGCAGCTCAAACCCCACCCGCTGCCTTCACTCACTGTGCTAACCCGGGTCCACCAGCGGAAAGTTCCAGTCGTGCTGAGAATGTCACACGGCCAGGCGGGGTTCTCAAGCGGGTGGGAAAACCCTGCCGTCCTTGCAGCCTAAATCTGTACTAAGTCAGAGGCTGGTCCAGGGAACGGTCCGGGATGGGGTTTTCTTTAGGCTGTGGGCAATGGCCCAGTCTCCTGGGGGGTCCCGGGATGCCCTGCCCCATTCTGGGGAGAACCCTGAGCAATGAGCTGGGAAAAGCCCCCCAGCACCCCAAGAGAAAATGAAAATAAAGAAGAAAGCAAGCAAGCCTCCTAGGAAATCTGAAGCTCATCCCCAGGGAGGCGGAGTTCCAGCCGCCAGGGCTGCACCACCACAGCACTGGGCAGACGCAGGGACAATGTCCCTGTCCCAGCACCCAGAGCCCCAACGAAAGGGACTTCGTGGCGGGGGGGGGGGGGGTCAGGGTGCTATTCTGCAGTCCAGACCTGCACCTCCACTCTAGGTCCCCCACATCGTGGCCACAGAGGGGAAACCCCGCTGCCAGGGTACAGTTCCCCAGTGTCTACGCGCAGAGCGGGACATCCTGTTTGCCTGTCACCCTTCAAAGGAGGCGAGAGGGTGCAGGGAGGGGGAGACCTCGCTGCAGGCTGCCCCCGCCACAACCAAACTATTTCACAGGTGTGGCTCCCTGCAGACAGGGTGTGAAATCCAGCACCCACCCCCCCCAGGCCCGACCCCCTGCCAGGACAGTGGGCGCTGCTGATCACAGCCCGGCCGGCCACCGTGGATGAGTCCCTGACTTCCGGTGGGTCACCAGAAAGCCCCACCGAGCAGCACAGAGGCCGGTGAAAGAGCAGGGAGGCAGTCTCACATGGACACACACTCAGCACATGCACACACACACACTTGTGCAGACACACAGTGCACACATATGTAAGTATATCTATATACATACAATAATGCCTACACAGACCACATACACATGCACGTGTACTCATCCATGCACACATATGCACTCACATAAGCACAGATGCACAGGAGTGTATATCCACACAAGCACAGACACACAAACGCACATGCACACAGTTGCACAGAGACACACCCACCCATGCACATATACATACATGCACACACATGCACACATGTCTTTTTTTTTAAGACTTTTTTTATTGAATACTGGTGAGACAGACCCTTACAAAGCTGTTCACGATGAGTGTTCCAACACCTGTCCCTCCACCAGACACACACGCCTTCTGACCCCGTGCTCCTTCCTCCTGGCACCCCGGGGTGGGGGGACTATCTAGTCAGGGGCGCACTGCTCACCCTGTGCTAGACTGTCCTTGCGTCACGTCCACAGCCTGGGACCTGCTTCTGTCTACAACGTAGGCACTGCCAGCAGTGCTTGGGCCCAGTGACGCTGGGTCCCTACCAGTCACACCGATGGTGCTGGGGTGAGACACAGCACGGGGGGTGCAGGAACCAACCTGGAGCCTGAGCCTAGAGGCGAGACACACACTTTCCCCTTGGTCACACCCACAAAACCCTGCCCTCATGTCTCTGGGGATCAGGCACCAAGACCAGGGGGCCGGGGAGGGGGCGGCAGGTCTCCTGACCCATCTCTCCCTGCGGGACCCCAACGTCACATGCCCGCACTTCTGTGGCGTGGAGTTCCCCTGACCTCCCCGCACATGAATCACCCCTGCAGAGACCCCAGCTCCCAGCACCGGCCCCCTGAGGTCCGGAGCTCCTGCCTGCCCCCAGGACGAGGGGCGAGGTCTGCAGTGCTGACCACTGCCAGGAGCGGAGGGGTGGAAGCCCCGCGCTGCAGCCGTGCTGCTGGCCAGGACACAGCCCGACGTGGCATGAGCCGGAAGTTGGCATACCAGGGCCAAGGCCATGGATTCTGGCGTTTTTCTCTTCTCTGCCGGTTCCTCTCATAGTTGGATGTCGGGAGGGGGCTGGGGGCCACACTTGGTTGCCACCCTGGAACACCTCGAAGGTGCGAGGAGGGGTCTCTGATGCGAGGCCGCCAGACTCAACTGGGGGCAGCGGGGGTGCCAACAGGCACCACATCTGAGCCACAAGTCTTGGAATTCCCAGCCTTGGAATGTGGGAATATAAGTTTAGGGGGGGGCATCTGTCAAGCAGTGCCTGAGTACAAGTCCAGGGGTCCCTCCCAGCCGCTCTCGGCCATCCAGGTCGGGGTTCAATGTGACAAGAATGTGCCCGGCTGCTGGGATGACGAGACGCCCTGGTGCTGCTGGTGGTCAGTGCTGGGGGACCACGTGGTCCTGGCTTTCAGAGTGGGCTCGGCGGTGCGGCAGGCCATGCGTGCACCCAGCCCCTGTCCTGTTCTCCTCGGGCCCCGGAGAACTCAATCTTTCAATGAAGACAGAACTAAAACAGGTGTGTGTGTGTGTGTGTGTGTGCGTGTGTGTGTGTGTGTCTTAGGAATCCTAGAGCATCCTCAATGCAACCAAATATGGCCAGGAAATGTGTGTTTGTGTCTCTTCATGGGAAATAAACATCCCCAAAGGCCAGTGTAGCAAGAGTCAAACCTCTATCTCTCTGTCTCCATCTCTCTACCTCTGTCTCTGTCTCTCTCTCTCTCTCTCTCTCTCTCTCTCTCTCTCTCTCTCTCTCTCTCATACACACACACACACACACACACACACACACAAACACACTCAGCCTTTGGTCCCCCGGCACCTGCGCAGGTAGCCTTACTTGGAAGCAGTTGTTGGTCTCAGGTGACTCTGGACTACACTGGGCACCAGGAGGGACAGACCCTTCAAAGCTGAGCCCAACAGCTAAGTGTCAGATGCATTCATGCCCCGTGCCCAGCCCCACACTCCTTACAACCATGAGTGCCCGCCATGGATGCGTGGAAAACGGAAAGGTCACGGCTACTGAGACACAGTGTGATGGGCCAGCCAGCCAGCCAGGCCGACGGTTTCTATCCGACCCAGCCAGCCCTGGGGTGCTGGGCCTGGTGGAGTCAGTCAGAGGAGGCAGACAAACGCCCCATGACTTCACTCCAACGTGGCTGATAAAGAAACAAAGCACAGAACAAACAAAACTAAACAAAAACAAACTCGTAGATGGCAAGAACAAACACTGGTTTCCAGAAAGGAAAGGGGTGGGGGTTGGGGACGTCCGTGGTCCAGTGTGTGTGTTGGGGGGGTGGACACTAGATCTTGGGGACCTGCCGTAGACAGGCTGATGTATAACACTGTGCACCTGAAACCCACATAACCTTATAAACCAATCGTTACTCTCATTTCAAAAAGAAACTTCTGGAGGCTGACAGCTGAGCTGGTCGGCACTGG